AAATAGGTATACATGCTTCCTCAAGGTGAAAGATACTGCATTCGTAAATTTTGACTCCAATGAGCTTCCATTAAGGAAATTTTAGGAGAAACAAATGAAATGATCGACTCAATACCTTATAAACCATGTTTTACATACATGTACTTCCACAAAAAATATGCAGATAACGTCATATCAAATTCATTCTTGAATTCGAAACTATTTGTGGTAATCCATTGCTAAAGATGCGTTGTGAAATAAAATTTAAAAAATGTATTTAGCATTGGAATAAATGCAAATCGTCCATTGACATTCCTTAAAATAAGCAATTTTATTGGTCAGATGAAACATGGCTTAATAACGAACGAAAAATAATGCCACCTGGTTTAATTACTAATACTTAAATTTTAATGAGCACTTGAAACTTAATTTTATGAGAATAAGATGTCAGATACTCAATTCAGTGTTGTATTTTCTGCAGTAATGTATTCATTTCTACAGATAATATGGTCTTGTTGCATACATTCAAGGTATGTTAATTTATATGGTGATTTCGATTTTCAGAAATTTGCAGATTTTTGCAGTTAATATTCAATTTTTTTCAATTTCGCACATGAAACTTTCTTAAAGATACAATTTCAGTGCTTAACGATCATTAAATGTACAGTAGTGCCAAAAGAAGAGTAGTGATCCCCCATATTTTGTTTTACACGCTTGTGTGTAGATACTAAATATATACAAAATAGATAAAACATTCTTTAGAATTTTGATAATAGGATCCAACCTCATAAAATAATTGTAAATCGACGAGGTATAAAGATTTTTATATTCACATATTATTATTTATAATTAATTTCATGATTTTCATGCTTAATTTGATTTTTTAAATTTTAAGTTTGTATGGTCACATGATCTGCCAATCTCATTCTTTGTCTCTTTAACCTCAAGAGGCCTCTATCAACTATTAAATGAAAAACACAGACAATAATTTAATTGTATATTTAAAAAATGCCATCTTAACCTTCATTTTATATCGTTTCCTTTAGATATTTCGTTCGTTGTCACCTGCAAAAAAAAAATATTAATGAAAAATTATTTTAGATTCAGACAAGCCAGTATCTCAAAATGTTATACTTCTTCTATTTATTATTTTCTGAATTTGAATAAATTAGCATATTTCTTCGAGAACAAGCCGATCAAAATATTGTCTTATTCGACAATATTTACATGTATCAAGCACATACACCAATATTTACATAATGTACACAAAGTTATCATATAGTGCATATTTTAATTGATTTTGAACATGTATGATATTTCACAAAAGCAGAGAGCAAACAAAAAAATAAGTCTTTGCTTAAAGAAAAATGTCAAACTTAATCGTGTATTTTTCTAGATCTATATTCGAATTATACATGGAGTTATTTTAAATGGGTATAATGTAAATGTTTTTTGAATTTTATAGAAAGAAATATTTCCCTTTTTATATCTTGTTATCATAATAGCCTATGACACTGTTACTAAAGAAAAATAGAGGCAAAGGGAAAATCAAAAAAAAAATGTTATAATCACAACATTCAATGTTTTTTAGTTGAATATGGAGTTTTATTTCAATCGTGAAATAGAATTTCTTGCTTCATACTCGTGAAAATACTGCATCAAAATATCATGTTCCACTCAAGAAATGAATTCCATATTCAACAAACGAAACTTGAATATCCTCTAATATATTAAACCAATTGCATGTACTTTTAAGAAAACAATTAATTTTCAAGACTTTTGGAATCGAACATGCGATTAACAAATTTAATTATAGCTAAGCATAATATTGAATCGTGAGGTTAATATATAAATTATCTCATTTTTGTCACTAAGCTTGCGGTTGCTTAATTTGCTACTAGTGATTGAATTATATGCTTTAACTGCTAAAAAAGTCCATAACGAAAATACAGATTGTCAGTTTTATGGGACGTTGACAAGTTTTCAGCCACAAAATGAGTGTGTCTTCATATTCTGGTGAAAACTGTCACTTTTTCTCAGATTAAAGTAACAAGAGGCCCATGGGCCACATCGCTCACCTGAGAAGCTTTGAACATTCCGTTCTTTACCAGATTTCCCCCTTGTTATACATGTTGTTACCCCACCCTACCCAACTGATGATAATTTAAACAATTTGAAATCTACACTACCATAGCATGCTTTGATTCAACATAGTAAAATTCTGATTCCCCATTGTGGCCCCACCCTACCCCCCGGGAGTGACATGATTAGAACAATTTAGAATCTACACTATCCCAGGATTCTTCCACATAAGTTTCTGCTTTTCTGGCCCAGTGGTTCTTGCAAAGAAGATTTTTCCTATATATTTCTGTGTAAAACTTTGATTCCCCATTGTGGCCTCGCCCAACCCCCGGGGAAATTTTTACAATTACACTTGCTTCCACATAAGTTTCAGCTTTTCTGGCCCAGTGGTTCTTGATCCCCCATTATGGCCCTGCCCAACCCCCGGGGGTCATGACTTTAACAATTTGGAATTTACACTACCCTGGGATGCTTCCACATAAGTTTCAGCTTTTCTGGCCCAGTGGTTCTTGAGAAGAAGATTTTTAAAGATTTTTCCTATATATTTCCTATATATTTCTATGTAAAACTTTGATTCCCCAATGTGGCCCTGCCCTATCCCCGGGGGTCATGACTTTAACAATTTAGAATCTACGCTATCCTAGGGTGCTTCCACATAAGTTTCAGCTTTTCTGGCCCAGTGGTTCTTGAGAAGAAGATTTTTAAAGATTTTTCCTATATATTGCTATGTAAAAGTTTGATTCCCCATTGTGGCCCCGACCTATCCCCGGGGGTCATGATTTTTACAATTTACAATCTACACTTCCCCAGGATGCTTTCACATAAATACTGGCCCAGTGGTTCTTGAGAAGAAGATTTTTAAAGATTTTTCCTATATATTTCTATGTAAAAGTTTGATTCCCCATTGTGGCCCCGCCCTATCCCCGGGGGTCATGATTTTAACAATTTAGAATCTGCACTACCTAAGAATGCTTCCAAATAAGTTTCTGCTTTTCTGGCTAGGTGGTTCTTGAGAAGAAGATTTTTAAAGATTTTTCCTATATATTTTTATGTAAAACTTTGATTCCCCATTGTGGCCCCGCCCTATCCCCGGGGTCATGATTTTTACAATTTTTACACTTCCCCAGGATGCTTCCACATAAGTTTCAAAGTGGTTCTTCAGAAGAAGATTTTTTAATGACCCCACCATATTTTTGTCTTTTCTTGATTATCTCCCCTTGTGAGGGGACTTGGCCCTTCATTTTCACAATTTAAATTCCCCTTCATATAAGGATGCTTTGTACCAAGTTTGGTCAAAATTGGCCCAGTAGTTCTTGAGAAGAAGTCAAAAATGTGAAAAGTTTACAGACGGACAGACATTTAAAATCTTTGACCTCTGAAATGAAATGAAGTAATAATTAAAGGTAGATTTTTTTGTAGAACCTTGTGTCATTGAGAACACTTTTCACATTCATTACTGTGGTACTATACATGCCGTATTCATAGTATTCGTAACATGCATCAGATCTCTAGCGTTTACAAGCTTATATTTCGGTCCTCATTCAATACATATGGTGAACTCTTGTACATGTGCATGTCAGTCACACGCTAAACCAATGTCTAATGGCTAAGAGAAATTGAGAATTTAAGTATTTGATAAGAAAACATACCCCAACTTTTCACTACAGTGTATTTTTTCTATGAACGATTGCGTTTTCATTTACAATTTTATCTTTTTCTAAGATGAAAAAATATCTTTTATAGTTAATGAATGTATGTGTACATGTAAATCACCAATGTTTAAGACTTCTAGACTATATATATAATGATTTTGTATCACGAAACGATCACGTGCCGAATCACGTGTTCTAATGGATTCTGGTACGTTTTTAATAGACGTAAAAATTATATTATCTGATAAAATCAAAGAATCATTTTTATCATAACGAATTTTTTAAAACTTTAATTTTCAATCATTAGAAATCAGATAATTGGAAAATAAATTACTCATTTTATAAGACTGGAACAAAATTTCGTGCAGATTTATTTAATAATTTCCGTTTTATTTCTCACTCCTCCTTGGCACCTGATCTCCCTGGTCCGTGATTTCTCTGCTCTATCGTTGAAAGAACTTTTGAGCATGAATACTGTTCTTTATCTCCATATATATCAATTATAAACTCCTACAGTGAAATTCTATCCTACGATCAGGAATTTTTTGGCAGGTTAGTTCTTTTGTGAGGATGAAAAGGGTGATATTATTTAACTTGACAAATGAAACTTTCCATATCGTCTTTCTATGTAGAATTTCCTTTTGTTTGTTCTACATGCAGTGGTCATTAATTTGAATTTAATTTAATAATCGAAGGAACTAAACTACATGTCAATTAAAACTGAAAACGAACTAAAAATGAATATTTCTATAAAGAAACGTTATATTTTGGACCCACGTATTTGAGTAAGTTTTGCTCAAATACGTTTTATTGAAATGATATACATGATTAGAAACTATGAAAGTTAATGAAATAAGTTAAAACTAATTTTGAATTTTGAAAAAAAATGCACGGATATGGGGTAGAATAATCAATTGTGACTCTAAACTCAGGATCGTGCTGTTTTTTCTCTAGTTCTTTTGCGGTACTCTTTGTCATAATAGTAACAGGGCATTGCTGCAATCAATTCTCTCGTGTCTACATCTGCGGAAGTAATGATATCACGTGTACAAAAATATTATTGTAATGGGTGATAAGTAGAGATTCATAACAAAACAAAGGGATTAACAATACGTCAGAGGGGGAAATACAAGCAATAGATTTACGTTTGTTTTTCTTTTTTGAAAAGAAGTGTTTTGTTAATATGAAAAAAGATAGCACAAAGCAGAGTGTATTGAATAGAAAACAATGCAACGAGGAAGGCTTTATCTAGCCATCAGAGGTCAGATGGTCAGACAAATAATAAATACAGAAATAATGCTGGTGAGTTGCCACAGACAACATGTATCAGCATACCTCTCCCATTATGTTATCTAGGAATCTGCATCCTAGAAGCCGTCGTAGAAAGAACCAGTTCAGAAGTGCAGTTTTCAGACCTATAGGTTGTGTATGATATCAAAATATTCTGAATTGGAAATAACTCTTTCTGGTTATGTGAGTAAAGGGATCATATTAACTCCATCACTCAATGAATGACTATTTACCCTACATAGATTTCTAATGGATGTGTACATTTTACCTGATGTCAGTAACATGTATCCAAATCCATTAACTCAGTAACAATAGAAGACCTTTCAGAGTGCCGATCAGCTGTTGATGAATGTGCAAAAACATTTTAACTACAACCGTATTGATGCTTAACAATATGTGACGTTTATTGAAAGTTCATTCATTTATTTCTTAAACCTCTCTCGAATTTGCCTACTATGTGAATGATTAAGTCGCTAACAGTAAGTTTTTCTATTTAAAGACGGTTGTTATATTAATTTGAGAAAAATAATACAATGTTTCCAATTCATTTTTTTTAACAACGTTGATTTTGATTAATATTAGACATTAGCCTATCTATAAAACGATGACACGTTAAAGTAGAAACTGAACTACAGAAAAAAAATCAATTTTCAGAGCTAATAACGATGAATAGAGTTCCCATATATTCTTTGATTAAAATCTAATGCCTATTAACAGTTTAATTGTATTTCTATATGGTTATCAGTATTTTCTGTCTAGATATTCCTTCACTGTAAAAAAATAACTAGTTAATGTCACGAAGAAAACTAGTAGATTCACTGTCCATACAATCACTACCTTAATAGTAGTTTTACCAGATATTGGTATATTTACTAGATAAGATAAGTAAATTTAGAATTGATTAACTTTCAAAAAAGATTACGACCCCCGCTCCACAACTACTATCTTAACCAGTAAACTGAAAGTTTACTAATCACGACCAACGCTTTACGAAACACACTAGTTAAATTCACTAGGTTTTTCTTTCAGTGTTCCTAAATTAATAGAGTGTCATCTTTTTACTCCATTACAAGCAGGACACATGTAGGACTGGTTTCTGTTCCTTTTTAAAAAAAAGATTGACCATAAGTAATATGGTTATTGTGATTATTTTCACATTTCAAGGGTATTCGCGTAGATTTATTCATGAAATACGAGTATATGGACTTAACGGATAGTATATATTCAAGCTCAAAATACAAAATACAAATTTTGGAGCAGACCAAACACGGACCTTTGATTATGCTTCAGAGATGCATTTGCCCTGGAGTAGTGAGCATAACCTGCCGACCAGGCAAAATCTGTCGTGTGCTCCTTGTCATGATCGGGAAATAACGTGAAAATCCGTGGAAAAGCATTTCACTCATTGATAGATTGTAATTGCTGACAAGGTCATTGAATCGACCATAGAACTTACAAAATGATGACTCTCAATGAGACTGCTGATTTTCTCGATTCATCAACTTGTTGATCAATAACTTACCTCATTTTGGATATTGTTCATACGTAGAGAATGCACTTGCCTATCGATTCAATTGACAGACAAAAATCCAGGTGATGCAGGTCATGAAGGTATATTGCTGTATAAGTTAGGGAAGTTGACGATTTAAAAGTTAAATTCATCACTTTTATCATAAAGCTTGGTTGTTAGATTCTCAGTTACGTCTTTCTATAGTAAAATATAAAAATATGAGACAGATGTGTCATACTATGTCATATCTTTTTTTTTAATTATTGTGTAATGAATCCTAGATTGGAACAAACATTCTTGTCCTCCCCGTGTTCTCTTGTAAACTCTAGATTGTTTTCTTAGCAACTATTTATAAACTATTCAATAAAAAAGGAAAATGTTGATAGGTTAAGAAACTATTAATGAAATGGTCAAATGTAAAGATTGTTTAGTAAAAACAAATAAACTGAATGTTATCCATATTTTTATACCCTTCCTAATCATGCTCAATATCTCTTAAAGAAATTAATAAAAATAAATTCCTGTTCTTAAATATGGGAAAGTGCAAACAACATATTAAAAAGAATAAAAAATCGCAATTAAAAATTGAACTCAATATTTAAAGTACTTTCATTCTGTTTTTGTTTGACGATATTAAGTTGTTTTTAAATTCAAACACACAGATTTTATTGCTATAATGATAAAGTAAATTCAAAGACACTAGTATGTTACAAAGATAGTCTTTAATTCTATCTTTGTTAACATACTAGTATCGTGATTAAATTTACTTATTAATGATTCTCTTACAAGAAGAAAAAAGAATTTTAGACAAAATAATACAATGATTTTCATTTTAATTCTTAAGGCACTGAAAGTTATTTTTATGGCACCTGGTCCCACCTCTGATGTTTTGGAGGTCTTTGTTTGCTCTGCTCCTAGTTTGTATTTGTTTTATGGACTCTCGAATACTGTTCGTCATCTCTATATGTTTCATTTTTGTTGTCAAACAATATTGGTGTGAAGCTCGAAAGGTTAAATATTACAGACGTTAAAGCATAATTCTCATTTTCCTCTTCTCTCTTTTGTAGACCATCATGTCTGTAAATGTGTCCTTCGATGATAACCTTACCTCTCCACTTAATAATGAGTCTTCTACTGCTGTGGCCTATGACTACTACACAATCTACAAGACCTTCTGTCCTGGGGCGGTAAAAGTCGACAAATACGCTACTCCTTACACATACGTCATCGGATTTCCTGGAAACTTATTTTCTCTTATAATTTGGCTTAAACGACGCATGCGGAACTCCTCTGGATATTACCTTGCTGCTTTGGCCCTTGTGAATCTTTTGTTTCTGTCTCTGCAAGTAATATATGAACTCAATGAAAAATGGAAAGTGAAATGTCTGGACCTACCATTTGTTTGTGAATTTTACCCCATTATTTTCTTGACCTCCCAATATCTCTCTCCGATCCTCGTGTTGTCTTTTACTATTGAGAGATACATAAGTATTTGTCACCCATTCAAACGGGACGTATGGTGTACAACAAAACATGCGAAAATTGCAATTATTTCTACAACCACTGGTTGTTTATGCATAAACAGCATTCAAGGTTACTTTTGGTCATATGACTCTGACAAAAAAAATTGCCTTCTCCGAGATTCAGTAATCAAATACGGCACTAAATCTCTCTGGGCAATATGGACCTGGTGTGTGGAAGCATTTGTGTTCCTTTTGGTGCCGCTGTGCATTCTATTTTTTAACATTCTTGTTATAAAAGAAGCACGAAGACTTTCAAAATTCGAGCAGAGCACGTTACATACCCAAAACCATCGGAATTCTGCAACGACAGTAATGTTACTGGCGGTCTCTTTTTACCAAATATTTACGACACTTCCGGTGACCATTGTCGTTACTTTGTATCAAACGTTTCCCTTGGGTGATTTTAGTGTTCTACCAACCATAACGGATACATGGAAAGCTCATTTTCAGTATTACTGGGCCAAAACTATCATTGAAGAAATAGGTTTGACTCATTATGCGGGAAACTTTTATATTTATCTATTAACTGGTAAAGTGTTCAGGAAAGAGTTCAAAAAGCTTCTGCGGCCTTTGATTGGTGGTTTGAAACTTAACCTTACAAATACGTTAAAGAATGAATATTCAAATGTTCGGAACGGGGGTACAAAACAGGGAAAAGAAGTTGCAGTGACCAAGTGCAATGGAAATGAAAATGGACATCCTAAGGAAAGTTCAGAAATCGATCCAATTCTGAGCTTATCAGAAACAAAACTTTGACATCATAAGTTTAAAGTATTAATCCAGTTTCCAATCAAAGATGGAACCTATCCATATCAATAAACCATGTATTATATAAAACTATTAATTAAAAACATGTTTCTTAAGGTAAATTTGGCAGTTTATTCTGGAGTACAGAAAAACAGAAAAAGAAAAAGCAAAAATGCTAAAGATACAGTGAGTGAACATTGTAAAACATAGAGCAGTGAAATATTCACTGAAAGGACAAAATTTTTTATTTCTTGCTTTTAGAGCATATTTCGTTTTTTGGAGTAGCATTGGATGGTTGTGCTGAGTAACCACTATCCAAAAAATATGTGTGTCCACTTGTATTGTCTGAAGGGTAGCAATATATTTGTTTTGTAAGCAGTCTTTTTATCCTTTGCATTTGCAAAAGGGACAACACATTTTTTCACGAATTCTTAGACTACTGTTTTAAGAGAAACATACCTGTATTTTTATGAACCTGATAATGGAGGAAATGACTGATGTTGTAAACAACTATTGGCTACAGAGAAAAGTGCCTTGTGTGTTCACTTGTATTGTCTGAAGGGTGGCAATATATATCCATGGGTTACTTCTCTTCGCCGTTTTAAAACTATCAGAGTATACTAGTAACTCGAATTTATTTGCCGCCAAACATTATATGCTATGTATATAAAAATTTATATAAAAATAACAATGAACAGAAAATTGATTACTATGGTAACATATTTCTGCGTCTTCATACGAGATAATCATGTTGACAGGCAAATAACAAAATCTTTTATAAAAATTCGCAAGTTACAATTTTTAGGGAATTTTATTTTTATTTTAGTAAACTATTTTTCATATACAAATGCAAGTTACAAAATCTATCAAAATTTGCAAATGACAAAAATGGGTGAGACTGACAATTTTGAAAAAAATTAATTGTTGACAAATTTCTTGCTTGTCAACATAATTATTTTGTACGTTGACATATTTATCTTGCATATTGACATAATTTATCTTCATATCAATATAGTACATGGAATAATAACTTACATACGGGAGGGGTGGTGGTGGTAGAAATATGCAAATATTGAATACAGAATGAGTACTGATTTGGCGTAAACAGTGTACATACGCATTGAAATACTTTTAGTGGTATTTGACAATATTATTTACTAAAAATGTTGAGAGTTCGTGCTTTACTTTATGGTAATTGTTTGTTTGGAACCTCTGTGACTGAATTTTAACGTGTTTCATAACATTGAATCTTTATGATCGTTAGGTGCCAACTTGATCAATTAGAAATGCTAATACTTTCATTTTTCAACTGCATCAATAAACTTACTGCACGGTATTGGTTACCAGTAACATAAAATTTAATTTATTGTCTTTTTAATTACCTTTCTTTACTCTAAATCATTTGCTTTGGTAAACTACCGGATCATAAGAAATATTTTCTTGTTTGTGTGCCTGGCAGATCTAAAATCTAATTACTTTATCGGTTAATTGTTCTTTAATTAGATCAAGGCTAGGGCAATGGAAGCAGATTTGTTTATTTTGTATTTTAAATCAAATTTAAATGCATTTTACCTTTCAAATGAAATAACTGACAAAAATGTGTTGATGGAAAAGCTAATTGTCTACGTCAGTGATAACTGTTTTCAAACGAACAAACCACAACACGTAACAATAAAAAAGTAACATGATGGAATACACAAGACAGGACATTTTTAATAAGTCATTTCTAGCGACTAGTTTTATATACTGTCCTGAGTTTTCATGATCTTTTAGGATTTCTTTCAATTTATTGATATATAAGTAAATAATTAAAACAAACTGAAGATAAACAAGTTATCATATTCTAATTTAAAACATGGACCTCTGGAAATTCCAGAGGTTGAATCAAATGCAATGGAGGAGTAGGCGTTCCCTTCCATCGATTTAACCGCCATAAGCCCTTTATTTATTATTGCGTAGTCAAATCAAATACAAAAAAGGCATAACAATAACAGATACATGTATGTTAATAAGAATATTATTACGACAAAGGAATTTTAGAGATTTTGACTCATAAAGAGGCTGTTTTAATTCATGTAGTATCAACTTATTTGTCAAGAACATGTCAAATTAAAACATAATCTTACTCAGAGGACGCTTCTGAGTATCGAAAAAGCTGGGAGATCTGAGCACAATGTTTGCAGAATATAGTGGTATATTCCTACAAAAAAAATAACTACTATGAAAAAGTTGAAATCTTTTCATTTGACAAACAATTCCAGTTTTTTGTTGGTTACTTAATTGTTTAGAGTCAGTAAATCATCCTGATCACCCTACAAGTCTCTATGGTGGTATTTACTACCGGTATATTGTGAATAAATAAAACGTCAAATTATCTATGTTGAATTGAAGGCCATGCATTGTAAGCATTTTTTCTTCTCATATAGAATTTTCAACATATTCGCTTCATACATGCTTAAAACATGTCGAAACACTGATCTGGCCTGGGGGCCATAAAACTTAGACGAGCTCACTTTTGATCTCAGTCTCACTTTTCCACTATTAATTCCTTTGTTAAAAGTGAGAGTGATATCAAAAGTGAACATCAACAAGATCTCTGTATGTGTTTATTGATTTCAAAAAAAATAACACAAATAGGGTCCATCCAAATCTCAGAAGATTGGTGGAAGACTTGGTCTCTAAAGACTACAAAGTTGTTGTCAATGAGGAACTCCGATATACTTGTAATATCATCCTCAGAGGACTTGTGTCTAGAATCGGTGATTTTTACAGGTGACGTAAATATAGTTAATAATGAGGACCTAAGATCACTTATTTTAAAAGGCCCTAAATAAAGGGAACCCCAATCATCGAAATTTCATAAATATTCTGGATTCTGTTGAAAATTACGCCAGGCGATGAGCCAGATATGAAAAAGAACGCGTTGACACGTTGTCAGAATGGATTAAATGTTACAGATCATGTTCAAATCGCGCACCGGTATTAAAAGATTGAGGGACAATATGAAAACCATCTATCCTTCTGTATTAAATAATCCAGAAGTGAAAAAATAATTCGATAGATTACATTAACAGTACGTACTAGTCCCTACAGACAACGCAGGTAACAACATTGTCTTCGTTTGTAAGGCTCATTATATAAATTGTATTTTAGAAGAACTTGGATTTAATTTTACAAATGGTTATCCAATTTATACTCATAGTTCCCATTCTAAGGAAGAAATTCTTCAAAATTATATGTCTAAATTATATATATTTTTATATCCCAAAGAACCAACATGAGTTTGAACTACCATATATTTATTTGATTCCGAAACTCCATAAGAATCCTTATAAACAAAAATACATAGCGGGTCTAGTAAATATTCAACCAAGTCTCTTTCTTCACTCCTCACTAACAGTAGTGAAGGAGAAACTTCTGTGCAACAATATATTCAAGAAGTGGTGTAAATCAGATGTGGATACTTAAGAATCCTAAGGAACTTTTGGACAATTTGCAATCACAAGATTTTACCAAAATCAACAGATTAAAAACTTACGACTTTTCAACTTTATACACAACCATTCCACAAGATAAATTAAAGTCCAGGCTTTTTGATATCATTGATAGCTGCTTTTTCAATAAAAAATAAACTCGTAAATTTACTTTGTCATTGGTCATTTGCAATATTATTTTGCTAGAAAAAACATTCTGATTGTACACACAAGTACTCTGAAGTTGACATTGGGCGTTTTTGGAGCCCAGGTCTTCCAACAATCTATTGGAATTCCCATTAACTCCCGTTAATTAATTGAAGGCATGTTTTTATATTCATATGAAGCAGAATTTGTGCAAAATCTTATGCGTGAAAAGAGGAAAACACTTGCAATGGACTTCAACACGACATATAGATATATCGACGACGTATTGTCAATGAACAATGGTAATATCCATTCTTATTTCGATACGTTATATCCCGGGGAGCTTGAGATAAAAGATACCCCAAAATCTGACACTTCTGTATCATATTTGGATATTTTACCTGAAAAAGACGTTAAAGGTAATCTAACAACCAAGCTCTATGATAAACGTGATGACAAACAAGTTAAAGAAACAAGAATATCAGCAGTCTCGCTTAAAGTCATCATTTCGAAGGTTCTGTGGTCGATATAATGACCTTGTCAGCAAACACAATTTATTATTGAGTCAAATGTTGACTGAAGTATATCATACTAATTGCTAGTCCAATATTTATACACTATATTGACGAAGGATTTTTCCTTTATCTACCGATTATAAAAAGGAGCACACGGCTGGTGTGACAGGTCGGCAGGGGATGCTCACCCATCCATGGCACCTATTCCCACCTCTCATGTTTTGGAGGTCCGTGTTTGCTCTGCTCCTATTTTGGTATAATTGTTATATGGGCTTTTGATCTGAAATACTGTTCCTTGTCTCCATATATTTCAAAAAGTAATTTTATAAATAAACAATAACAAGATATTTTTTGCTTTTTTAAATCAATTTGACCGTGATTTTTTTTTCATTCCTGTATATTGTGTAGAAAAGTCGTACGTTTGAGTGTTACTGTTTTTAAACATTTTTTTAACTTGTAGGAGTTTTTCAGAATCCATATTTGAAAAAGCACAAATTTTTGGATATGTTGTTGCACAGAACGTCTTGCGTTTCTCTTTAATATTTTTGTAAGAGTTAAAGATTGAGGCTTGGAAATGAAGTTGCTGAACTTGGATATGTAAATTTTTTGTGAAAATTTTATTAAATCTAAGAATCCGGTAAATATTTGCTTTTAACTGTAATATTCTTTTTATATTGCCATTATAAATATATTTAAAATATTTGCTTATTCCTTAATTAAATTATTGGATCGCATTCACCATTACTTATAAATAAACTCGGTTTCAAGGTCACAATGAGTATCTAAAGGAAGTTACATGGTATTTGAATTATGTAAAACATCTTTGATACGTCGAATCAATTAGGCATAGTTCAAAGATTTTTAGAGTAGAACGATAAAACAACGAAGAAGTACATGATTTAGGAATTCTGCACTTGGACATGTGATAAATTGCAAAGTGTTGT